TTTGGCTTTCTTGCAATAGTTGTGTCAATTTATCCCAATGCCACAGAGAGCAACTCCCCTTTTAAAATTACTCCAGTTCTACCATATTGTCATGAAATCAAATTTTGGGGTATTTCATGCACAGCATGTTCTGTTAAGAGTCTCTTGTTCAAATTACAACCAGCAGGATGCCTTGCACTTCTAGCTATTCCTTGATGAAATTTAATAAATATTCATTGGCAGAATGCAATGTAATTGATTCAGTTACTTTCATTTTTATCAGCTCAGCAGGAGACCCCAGATTCTACAGAAAGCCTCCAAGAAATTCTAAAGGTTGACAATAAGAGGCTTTTGTGATTCACGTTGTGAAATGAGAAATAGCTGGCAGTACCTTATCAATGTCTAATTCGCCCTGTCCAAAATCAGAGTTTTTAAACAGGCTTGCATATTTGTGAAAATTTGGAACATGCAGCCTCAGGTAAAGTGCTAAGACATAAGACACGATATCTGCTTTGATAATGATCATTCAAAAGTTAGAGAAATTATTTGAATAAAAAATGAAATATTGTTTACTTACAGTAGTTAATGATATTAAGTGAAATTAAAAGTATATTATGGATATGGAAAGTATAAGCAGCTAAGCAGCATTATGGGATCATAATAGATCATAATAAATCAATGAAAACATCCCTGTGAGGGAAGTTAAGGGAATAGGAAAAACTGTAATGCTGTATCACTGCAACCCAATGGAATTGGAGAATATCCATAATTAATTTTGGCCAAAGTGTGTTCTTATTTCTATAGGATTCAGCACTGTCATAAGGCCTTTTGATACTGGATAGTATATTACCAAACATCAAACTCTAATTCGTAGGTGAAATATTCAGCATATTCATTTGAATGCTTTTTCAAATGGGAGCCGTGGTGGCACAATGGTTAGAATGCAGTATTGTAGGTTAATTCTGCCAACTGCCAGCAGTTTGATTCTGACTGGCTCAAGGTTGACTCAGCCTTACATCCTTCCAAGGTCAGTAAAATGAGGACCCAGATTGTTGGGGGCAATATGCTGACTCTGTAAACCTCTTAGAGAGGACTGTAAAGCACTGTGAAGCGGTATATAAGTCTATTGTTGTTGCTATTTTGTTCAAAATATGCTTGAATTGCCTCTAATGAAATCTGTGATGCAGGCCTACACAAGGGTAAAGAGCAAAGGACCCCATTGATACATTAAAAATCACTGCAGGCCACAAAGGAATGCCTAGCAAATCAGTTAGCAGTTTGGAAACTACAGGAGCAGCAGTACTCTGGAGCTGGTGGTGGTAGAGAGGCTTGGAGCACTCACAGTATGTTTTTGGAGATGGGGTGGTGATTTATTATTTTTTTAAAAATGCAAACGGGCTGCTTGGTACCTGCAGCCCATGAACTATATAATGCAGGCCTGCTGCAATGCATTTATGAGTGGAATGGGACAGGCAAGGGAGAAGGAAATCCATCACCTCTATGGATCTTGCCTCACGTGTGCCATCCTATGTAGTAAACAAACCTCCCCCTCCTAATTTGCTGGTTTTCTACTTACTGGAAGGCCAGTGAAGGTAACAGGGGGTGTCTGCCAAGAGATGCTAAAGCTTTTTCCATTGGGAGTGAACTTGGCTGACCCTGGAATGTTCACAGGAGCTGTGGCCTGTTTCAAAAAATAGGAAATCAGTTAAGAAGGAACATCTCCATGTTACCCAATTAAGTGTTCGATTATCTCCTATGAAAAATAATAAGTCGGTCGCATTTTGATTCTATTTTTCAGCTCTCGAGGACAATAGGGTGAATAATAAATGATACCACTGAAAGAAAGAAGTCTATAGCAGTCACTAAAACAAATGAGAGATAAAGAATTCATAATATATGCAGATCTAATAAAATTATTTTAAAGTTTAAATCTTACAAAAGAAGCATTTTAGAGCAACTTTTCATTTCCCCAATGTGGCTTCTTTCAGATATTTTGAACTATAGCATCGTTTGTAACATTTCCAACCAGCAAAAGACTATTACTGGTAACAATGGACAGGTCACAAAGCAACTAATCTGGAATTTACTGACTGGAGAAGATAGTTGAGAGTTGAACTGTGGAATCCTTGGTGCTCTCTGAACTTGGTTGTTTGCTTGCAGACATTTCGCTACCTGACTAGGTAACATAATCAGTGCTCATGGATGAGGTTATTAATGTAGTGATGATATTACCTCGTCAGGTCAATATCTTCAAGCAAACAGCTAAGTTCAGACACCATCAAGGACTTCGAACTCTCTTATGTCTTTTCTACCTTAAGATTATGGAAGTTTGCAGATTCCTTCTTGCAGACAGATTTTTTTGTTTTTCTTCCTTTATTTCTTGCTTATTTATCAGTTTTCTTTTTTGGATTTGTATTTTTTGTGCTGTGTAAAAAATTCTATATATTATTATTATTATTATTATTATTATTATTATTATTATTATTATTATTATTATTATTATTATTATTATTATTATTATTATTATTATTATTATTATTATCAGAAAGATGTGGAAAAATTGTATTTGCTGCCATCAGTCTTTCCATCTATGAGAGACTGCATGAGAGTCATGCAGTTTGGACACATGCCTGTTTTGGGTATCTTTACAAACTCAAAAAAGTTTGTAAAGATATCCAAAAGATACTGGATACTTCTAAAAGCCCATTCCGAGTGGTGGCATGCCAAGTTTAAATCTTATTATTTATTTATCAATATAATTTTAAATACTGGCCATCTTGTTCACAGAGTGATTGTTGGCAGTGTACAGTTAAAAACATGAAAGCCTAAAACCAGACTAAAAACACGTTACATCAATAACAAGATAAGAACAAGATTAGAATAAATTAAAGGTTAAAAGGCAGCAGGAGGGCTATCAAGGCATCTGGGAGCCTTGTGTGAATTGGAAGAGCCAAATCTTCAACTTTCTTCGAAAGTCCAAGAGAGTGGGGGCCTGTCTTGGGGCATGGGGAAGAGGATAGGCCAGAGGGGAGGGGCAATGGCAGAGAAGGCCCTCTTCCTGGGACCACCAGTCAAAAATTCATCAACTGGCATTATCAGCAATAGCTTTTGTTGTTTTATATTGCCATATTCTGCTCCTTTTCTCTTTACATGTTTATGCTATTATGATTTCATATACTGCACATGCAGTGAATAGAGATTCTATTCACTTTTACTACCTCAGTAACCATTTTACTAAGACTTGAATTAATGAGAGAAAGATATGAGAAATGGCGGCACAATTCAGTGAGTTTATTTTTAGTCTCTGAAGGAGATAGGCAATTTAGAAATAGGAAACATAAATAAATAAATAATAAAAATAAGATTATATAGATTAAAATATTCAAAACCTTTATAAGTAGCTTTCAGCTCATTTATAAGAGATAATTAGAATATTTTATTCCATTTTTTTAAAATATAAAGATCACCATTTCAATGTATGCAACAAATGATCAGGTATGGTGTTGACTCCAACTTACTCTTTATACTAGCAGGTGTTTTAGAATATAGGTTGCTATAAGGAATCAATTATCTGATTAACGTTTGCAAATACCCATAGATTATGAGGGTCTGTTCAGCCACCACATGCTATATCATGTTAATTCCTCCCACACTTAAAAGTTAATATAAATTTTGTATATCTGTAAAAAAAATGCAGATCTAAACCCATTTTCAAAAGATTTTCCAAAGCTTCTATGATAAACAAATCCAATTGATAAATTGATACTCAAACTAGCACCAAAGCATAATTGCTTGTTTAAAGTTAACAAGAGAGCCAGTTTGATCTAGTGGTTAAGGCACCTGGCTAGAAACCCAGAGACTGAGTTCTAGTCCTGCCTTAGCCATGAAAACCAGCAGACTGACTCTGGGCCAGTCATTCTCTTTTAGCCCAACTTGCCTCACAGGGTTGTTCTTGTGGGGAAAATAAGAAGATGAAAGAGAATTAAGTAAATTTTCCACCTTGTACTATTTATAAAAATAATAAAGGTGGGAAAAAAATAAATAAATGAAACAAATGAACAATTTTGTCAGAGAGGTATTATGTGCTTCCATTTTGCCTCTCCTCTTTTTCATGAAAGCTTTTGACTTTGAGTAAGACATTCGTCTGTTATTTCAAAACCAGAACTTTTATTATTCTCAAACAAGGATTTGAAAGTAACATGATCTGCACTCATAGCATAATCTCATTAATCATAGTGTAAAAATAGTTTAGCAATTTCATATACCTACTTTAAACGATTTCCCAAGAACTTTGCAGCAAGAAAGAGAAACAAGAGGGTGGGATGCAAAAAACAAAAAACCAAACCCTAAATGTAACCACAAGTCAGTCACAGCTCAATTCCACATCATTACTACTGAATCTAGCTATTGTAATTTTTGGATAAAATAAAATAAAATAAATCAAGTGCAATAAAATAAAATATGTACCTGGTAAGCATGGTCAGAGTGAATGAGGTAGAGGTTGGTAGGAGCTGAACGGCTTAGAGGCGTCATCCCTTTAGCATCTGTTTTGGCACATGACAGTTCACTTCTGTTCACATCTTGGGATGGAAAAGAAGGAAGAAATGCTAGAGAGGGTGAAACTGGAGATAAACTATTTAATCCATCAGCTACTGAGTCAGTGTTGAGACGTATCTCTGTGTAGTAAAAATCTTCCTCTCCATCACTGTAGTCAGATTCTCCTACACGTCTAAAAAAATGACAGTCAGAAATTATTAATACTATATCATAGTCAGTACAATAAGAAATTCCAATATATTAATATATGAGTATATACAAACAAATTGAATTGTTCAATATTTTTACAACTACAACCAATAATATATATTTTAATTAATATATTCATGTGCATATTGGGGAGGGAAAGAACAAAATAAAGAAATATTTGCATACAGAGACACGCACACAGTTACACAGGAAACACTTTATCTCTTCAGAAGAGATCCACTCATCAGTTAACATATTTTTCATGTGCATAGAATATACCATCAAGAATGTTGAAATAAAAAAGACTTAACTTTATTTGTCACATTTTATAAATCAGACTGGTGGAAACACAGTATATTTAAAGTAGACAAAGACTGTTTAACTCATTTATTCCTCATATTTGTATCTCATTTCTTTCAAAACCTTTAGCACATTTTCCCCTTTATTCTCACAACAATTTGGTGAGGCAAGAGAAAGTTTGGGAGAAAGTATATAATTGTACATGGATTATGCAATAAATGAGATTCAATTCTCTTTCCCCACCCACTAACCATTTTATTAAAAAAAATTAAATGCAGGTTTGAATTAATGGGAAAAAGATATCATGAAAAATGACAGCACAGTTCAGTGAGTTTAATTTTTAATTATTTCTATTGTGACTCATAGGAGAATTTTTAAATATTGAAAATCCTTTGGGTTCACATTAGTTCTTGCTCTTCTTTCTATTGAAGTTGCTACAATGAGGAAAATGAAAGGTTTTGTTCTATTGTTTAAAAAAGAATATTGTCCATTTTTCAGAATTATATCCAAAACATATATGTCACTGAAACAAATTGAATTTAACTCAAGGACTGAAATTGGCTTAAGAAATTACAGTTAGGATTTACCACAATTGGTTGGGTCTAACTGAAACAAACTGCTGTGAATCTAAAACTGAAGCAAAATTGTCTAAGTTTATCATGGCCATACAGAAGGAGAGATAAGGGGAAACTCATTAACCAACAATTTGCAATAACTTGTTGCAGTCATAAGTCATACTTCTCCAGATGTTATTTCCACAACTAACAGGAATCCTTTTTCAGAGAAACTACCTATCTCTTTTTACAAAAAGAATTTCCCAAATGTTTCTAAAACTTTTGATTTTATCAAATTTGTGATATTGATTCAATAGCTTCATTTATAATAATTACCAACTTAATAAATTAAGCTTAGTTCATTGGCACACAAAAAAAATGAACCCAAAGTGGCTGGTTTGTATTTTTTAACCTTTCCCTCTTTGGAGTGGCCAAAAAGGAAAATAAATCAGCACTCTGTTTCATGTTAGGAAAAATATTGTTTTGATTCTTGTGCGTGCATTGGAAACAGTGGCTTAAAATAAATTCTACTTTCTTTAGCAAATAAAGAAAACAATGTAAGATTTGTCATTGGCTTGTATGTTATTCATTAATGGAAACAAATTTATACATAATAAAAAGCTAGGATACTGCTTATATGAGACTGAATTCTGGCTGATTCATTCCCCTAGCTCAGGGATAGGCAAACTTGGCTCTTTTATGACTCGTGGACTTCAACTCCCAGAATTCCTGAGCCAGCATGGCTGGCTCAGGAATTCTGAGAGTTGAAGTCCACGAGTCATAAAAGAGCCAATGTTGCCTACCCTTGCTCTAGCTCAAAGCACTGACTTCAATGTTAGATGCAAACCCCCGTATAAATATTGAAAAAGAAATAAGGGAATTATCACCAGTAATAGCTCGATTATAAACATGCTCATTTGGTTATAAATCTTAGTGAACTCGCTTCAAAGTAATGCTAACATTGGGATAAAAGTTGTTTCACAAATAAAAAGAACTGTAGTCTTCTCACCCAAGATGAATAGTCCGGATGTGTTTCTGAATGCCAACAGCAGTGCTTAGTACCTTTCCACAGTTTTTCCAAAGGCATTTAAACATTACTTTCATGGAGTTCTGAGAAGTTAAACAGGGAACACAATCTGTACACAGTACATTCATTTAACAAGCATGGATTTCAAATTATTCTATTTACATTGATACTAAAGTAAATTAAAATTAATGTTTCAAGGACACATACGTTTAAGGAGATAGGCCTACTGAACTTGGGCGGATTTACTTTTAAATAACATGCACCTGAGTGTAATTTAAGTTCACCGTTTATAAACCAAACTATATAGTATTGATCTTTTGGTCATTAATCTTGCAAAGCTAATTTGGAACACTGAAATGAGTTCACTCTGTTTTCAAATTAGAATGACAATTAATAGCTGACTGTAGTATAAATAAATAAATAAATGTAAATGTTTGTTTGTTCAAAATCTTAAATCTCCGAACGTTCTTCACCGATTGCTTTGAAATTTTGACACAACGTTGCATTCGAATACGTGCGTGTTTTTATATACCTATATTATATAGATGTCACACCTGTGACAGGTAAAAACATGTTTTTTTGAAAAACGGCACCATCTGTTGGATGTAAAAGCAACACACACTTTTACCAGACTGAGCCACAGCAACGCGTGGCCGGGTACAGCTAGTACAGTAATACACGCAGGAATTTCCTAATATTTCATCTATTAGCAATTTATTTGTAACAACTCCAGGGCTTTTCAGACAAATATTTCTTTTAAGAGGACTAAAACAATTGGTATATATTTTTAAAAATGAAGAGTAAATAAAGGCAAAGTGAAACAAACAACATCTGGTTTTAGATAAAAATAATATATGATGGAGTCTTTCATAAATAAACACAGGTATTTGTTAATCAAGGTTCATATAATATCACAATATACATGCTGGCTGGCTGGAGTATTCTGGGAATTGAAGTCCACCCATCTTAAAGCTGCCAAAGATGAGAAACACAGGTATAACATTATAGGAGAATATTGACAAATTCAATATCAGACTCACCTTTCTTTTCCTAGGAATAGGTTCGTCAAAAAGAAGACTGCTAGTTTCAGCTTCGTCAATGCCATCGTCAGTTTGAGATGGCAATCGAAATGGTTTGAAGCTGTCAGCAGAAAGGGGAGGTGATGGAGTGGATGGGTTTGATTGGTCACTTGGAGCACTCCAGCTCCAATACCCACTGCTGCTGGTACTGGAAGGCACAAATCCTCCTTCTTTCCAGGATCCATTTAAGGATTCTATAAATTAACAACAGCATTAAAAAATAACTACAATGTTGGATATTAATGCTTTTAATGCTGTAAGTTGCCCAGAGTCACTTTGAAACAGGATGGGAGGCAAATAAATTTAATAAATACTATAAATAAACTATTTTTAGTAAGGGGATTACTAAAACATGTATTATTAAAAACATGTATTTATGAAGAATGCTGGAACATCTAGATTACATGCAATTAACTGAAAAGAAAATTATTATCTACTAAGATATAAGAAGTACATACACCACACTCACACCCACAGACACACGCGGAAAGCACACAGATTTTCCAGGAATATATATGGTTCTATATCTACTAGGGCTTCCAAACTGCATAAATAAACTATACTTGATATAAACAAAGAAAGACTTATTCATATTTTTCTACCGTGCCACGCCCAAAGAAGGCTACAGCCAGGTGCTTTCTAGACAACCTATCTACTTGAGAAGCCACTAAGGTTGCAGCTGGACAGCTGACTAGGCCAAAGTTCTTCTTCTTCTTTGAATGGATGAACATGTCCAGAATTTTGGGAAAGTATCATGGGTTCCTCTGTAACATAACTGTTGTGGGAGGAAATGTTCATGCATAAAACTGCTGCTATTGTGGGTTTCTGAAACACAATTTCACAAAAAGCATCTGGCTGAAACTAACTGAAATCTTATCCCAAATGATGAATCTATGGCAGCCCATTCAGGAATATCTCCTAAATTTTCTGCATTAAGACTAAAGGTTCGCTCATTCTAAACCTAAATTCTGTTCAGGCATCTATTTCTAAATGCTATGCTCCTTCCTTCCTTCCTCCCTCCCTCCTTTCCTCCTTCTTTCTCAGTTACTGGAGGCTGCCTTTCATAGCCCTTTTGGCTTTGGCTGTAAGAAAGATCAATGTACAACTTCCATAGAAGTATCTGTTCATAAAATGCCTGATGATCTTTTCTAAAGCACTTCTTGGGTTTGTGCAGGCTGCTTACAAAGAGCAGGTCTTCTAACATGTCTTCCAAACATGGGTTTAGTGTTCTTTTGAAAGTAAGCACTAGTTCTAAATAGCACAAAAAGCCAATTCAAACCAGAAAACAACCAAGTTATATCACCTGTGTGTTGCTATGCATGTCTCTATTGATAGCATTACAGATTCTCTACTGCTTCTGCTTAACAAGGAGTTTCACATGGCTGTATCTTTTATACTCTTTATTATTTGGGGCGAGAAAAAACACACCATTTTGCCTATTCAGTTGTAGCTTTGGCAACACTAGATGCTAAGTAGTGACTGCAGTTTTTATGTGTGGGTTAATGGTAGCCCCTCACTCCTCTTGGCCACTGGAGGTCAGAGCTAGATTTCTTAGTCACTCCTTACCAGCATTGTCACTGTCTTGCAGAAGCAATAAATGAGCATTTGTTATTGTTGTCTCCTATTCAATCAGTGCCTGCAATCTGTCAGCCAGTCTATATCTCAAAACATGTTCTATCGTAAGAAGTAAAACCCTAGACCTATGGTCAGAAATAACCTAATTGACAAGTCACAAGCAGGAAGAAGGGGTTGTGCTGAGTAGAAGAACTGCACAAGAAGGCATTGACTTCTGCTTCACACTATGAAACTCTCCACATTTCCATTGTTAGTTGGACAATTAAGCAAGTGGATACATCCTCTAGTGTAAACATCTGTTTATATTCACTAACTCCACTCCACCCCACATTAGGGAGAACGACTGGTGGCTGGTCTTCCTACCAGCAGGCAGAAGGGAAAATGAAGCTAGGTATATCTACCAATCCTTTCCCCAAACCTTTCTTTCACAATCTTTCCTGAAAACATGCTCACCATTAGGACGGATTGGGGGGCTGCGAACCAAAGGGCTGGTGGATAAAGTAGTTAGAACCATAGCTGCTGTGACTTTATCCATATCCACTTCTTCTGAAGATTTTCTGAAACAAAGTGATTAGAAATCAGGAACAAATGAAAAAGGGGTTAGAACAATGCACCATTAATATTCCAAATTCTAATCTATATATTACAGATAGTTCTCAACTTATATCCACAATTGAGCCCAAACTTTCTGTGAAACATGTGTTAAGTGAGTTTTGCCCCATTTTATGATCTTTCATTTGTTAAGTGAATCATTGCAGTTGTTAAATTAGTAACACGGTTGTTAAGTGAATCTGGCTTCCCCATTGACTTTGCTTGTCAGAAGGTCGCAAAAGGTAATAACATTACTCCAGGACAGGGGAATCGTCATAAATATGAATGAGTTATCAAATGTCTGAATTTTGATCACGTGACCATGGGGATGTTGCAATGGTCATAAGAGTGAAAAATGGTCATAAGTCATGTTTTTCAGTGCCATTGTAACTTTGAACATTCCCTAAACAAACTGTTGTAAGTTGAGGAATGCCTGTACTAAAATTCTCATTGTCATAACTTTTTAACTGGATGAAACAGTGCATCATGGGGCAACATTTTTTAATTAAGCTACCTCAAATGGACTAACTTATAGAATGTGTCCAAAATCTGTGACCACGACTCCCAAGGGAATGAAATTTGGGAAAGTTATGTTGCTTCAGTATTACTGCCCGCTTCTACACTGCTGTGGTTACATGATCTTAATTTAGGTTCTGAGTTTCCTAGCCAGTCTTGCAATCTCAGTCCTTCCCCTATTCAACAACAGCCACTTACCTGCTTCCTGGGGAAGGGACGGGAAGGAAAGGGAAAGGAATTTCCAATGTTTCCTGCCACATTCCCACAAGGTAACTCAATGAAGAATTTAGCAGGAAGTCAAAGTCACTCCTGCTCCCACTATTTTTTGCCCATTATTGATCATTCTATTTCTCTGTTTAGGTAAAGAAATATCTCTGAAATGATGATCCAATGGGGCACAGGTTGTCTAGCTGCTCTTTAAAAGCTTCAAGCAACAGAACAAGTTGGACCAGTTTCTGTTCAATGGATAGTACTTGTTCACTATACTGACTTTCAACATATGGCTCAAAACTGTCTAGTTAACATAAAGGCAGGTAAAGTCTACCAGGTAGTCATGGCAGTCCAAAAACGGCAGCTTAGCAATACCTCCAAAAGATTCTCTGTTTCAAACTGTGACATATATTTGGCAACAATGTCTACCATTGTGGGCAGTAGAACTGTGGATTACATGGATTACGGTAGCTATATTTTACAGTTTATAGCCATACAGAGGAATAACCAGTTCCTGAAACTAAGCAGTGTACAGGAGAGGCAAAAGGCTATACATGTTGTTGTATTTTCTTTTCTTTGCTAAAGCATTGCAACATGTCATCGATTTTTTTACTTTTTTTTTTTTTTTTACAAAAACCCATTTTATATGAATTGGTCATGAAATTAAATGAAGTATCCTCAAGGCAAAAACTGTGTCTCATTTAAAGTACACTATCTATGGTGCCACCTTTGTTTCTAGCACTGCTGTGCTGGTATTAATCACATTAATGAATACAGTAAAATCTACTATGTTTATAATTCAACCACGTGGCATTGCAACTGATGGAAAAACAAGTAAAGAAAATAAGCCTCATCATTTCTCTTTGCACAAAGGCCTCTCATCTCATGCACAGGGCTGCCTCTGAGAGATGTATAGGGATTCTGTGGGAATAGCCTAAGTAATATAGATATGCTAAAGTCCTTTAAAAAAATGTTAAATGGATGTGCAAATGCAGAGGTTTTGAAACAAAAATCCTGTATTTAATATTTAATATTTAACTGTATAATTTAAATAAAAGGAACAAGTTAAAATTTCTTCCCCACAGGTGATAAGCTCAGGAGGAGGAGGAGGAGGAGAGACTGGATTACTGGCTGGAAAAAGTTGGTTTGTCCCTGATTTATGATACGGATGACATATTTGATTGATTTGGGTTCTCATTCTATATACTCTTGCTTAAAGATACAGGTTTGCCAATCTTTACTTCTAGTTCTCAGCAATCTTCATTTTTGTCTTCTGACTTCTGTTCCCACTTCCATTTTTCAATTCTTGTGGAATTTTTTTAAGTACAAATTGTTTTTCACAGTTTTGTACCCTACAAAAGATCTTTTAATAGTAAGCAATTTGGGAATTATCAGTCACAACACACACTATGGCACAGATGCACTGGTTAATGGCCACAGTTTTCCAGTTATACAATAGGCTAAATATATATATGCTTTTCCTCTTAAAAAAAAAAAAGAAGTCTTTAAATGGGGATCATAGAATGGTAGGGAGGGGTGGCAAGGGAAAAGTTGATAAGGACTGCAAAAAATAATAATAATCAACCTGAGTGTTCCGATTTCTTCTTCTCTGAGATAAAATCCCTCTGTCTGGAGGAACAGAAAAAGGAGCAACTGAATCACGTCCCTGTTATTGTCAATCCAGCATTCCAGCATTTGTTCTTTAAAAACTCTCAGGATTTTCAATAATTTACAATGCCATTTCTTCTTCTTTTCCCCCTCCATTCTGTTCTGCTTGGCGAGCACAGTGAATGCTGATCATCACATGGGCTGAAATAGCAGAGCTGTAAATTGCAGCAACCCCTCCTTCATGAGATCATCCCATACTAGTGCAAATGAGAATGACATAATGCTTCTCTGAAGCCCAGCATGCGTAGAGCTCATTCTCCAGCCATAGCTACTTTTCTTTTTCAAAACAGTTTGTTTCCCCCTCGTAAGATATTTCATTATTTCATTACACGCTGGGGGACTGAGGAAGCAGATTACATACAGAGATGCTGCAGCAGGAAACATAGCAGTCTCCTATCTCTTCTATTCTCCCCTCCCCATCTTCCTTTTTTAGATCAACATCAACAATAATGTATTTCTATATCTGAAGAAAACTGAGATGACATAAGTCTTTGGATAGGGAAGGAGGGAAAAGGGAACCAAAGTACAAATATGGAGCTTTTGCACAACATGTACAAAGGAAGCCTGGAGGCTTCCTGACTTGTCCATGGAATTTTCTTGGCAACAATACAGTACAGAAATGATTCCTTCTTCTGGAGTGTATTTCAACTTCCCAGCTTAGTCCATAGTCCTGGTATTCCCAGGTACTCTTTCAATCCAAAGTTAACCAAGCCCAACTTTTATTATCTTTCAAGCTTAATCCAGTTCAGTCCAGGCACTGCTATCTCCCGAGTCTTGTAGAAAATGTACTGTACAGTTCACTAGAGTCAAGTGCTTCTCAGTTAAGGATTTCAAACTTACACTGGTATAGGTATTCGCAACCGGTATCTGTTGGGAAATTTTGGGCTTCAAGACCACAGAGGCAACTGTGATGAGTAGGAACTGAATAAGTCCCTGCTCAATTACTTGTGGCCAGCTGTGCAGACTATCTTGCCTCTGAAGAAGCCAAACACATTTGTTGGTGAAACATCAGGAAATCTGTTTTCTAGACCACAGTCACAAAACCCATGCTGCCTAACAATTTCAGTCTTGCTTGACTTCCTATAATACAGTGGTTCTCAACCTTTTTAATGCCGCGACCCCCAACCGGTCATAAGTCGAGGACTAAACCGGTCGTAATTCGAGGACTAAACTGGTCGTAAGTCGAGGACTACCCAACCGGTCGTACGTCGAGGACTTTCCCTGCCCGGGAGCACCACGCATGCGTGGTTCTGCCCCCTGCGCCGGCTGAGACGTAGCTGGCAAGCGGCAGAGACGGAGCAGGCCGACCATCAGCTGGCCCAGCTCAAGGGAGGTAAGGCACCCGCTGGAAAAGGGGAAAAAAATGGCGGACAGCCTTGCTTGGCGACCCCGTGAAATGGTCGATCGACCCCAAATGGGGTCACGACCCATAGGTTGAGAACCGCTGCTATAATAACTTTATTAAAATTAACACCATGAAAATGCAAAATTCCTGCAAGTCCTTTAATCTAGAAACATCTAAATAAGCATCACTAGAATAAAGATCATATGGAAATCAGGAAATTACTATATTGTACATTTTGGGCTTGGAAGCCATTCAAATCAAGGAAGGCAGTCTCTGTACAGTATTGCTGCCATGTTATAAGTTGCCAATATCATCATCACGCATGGCATTTCAAAGATGTGCAGCACCAAAAACATGTAGCGAAAACTGTAAGTGATACTTAGGAATCTGAGCTCCATTATAAGTAGCAGTGAAAATTCAGAATTAGTGTTACTCCTTGCAGAGAGAGCAATTAATGGGAACTTCCCACTAGAGCTAATAAGAATTTTGGAGGGGTTATTGTTGCATCCATGGGAAATTGGATGGAAGAATTGGGTTAAATCTTCATCACATTTATTATAATTTTGAAAGTGGATGAAGAAAGAAAAAAGAAAAAGAAAGAAAGAAAGAAAGAAAGAAAGAAAGAAAGAAAGTAAGTAAGTAATTAAGTAAGTAAGTAAGTAAGTTAGTTTGGACTCGTAAATAGAAAACAGCCTCACTCATATGTTTTCTTTCTTGAATACAGGCATATGGACACACAAACCAGAAGCACAATATTACAGAATCCTGGGTAAGAGGTATGTCAATAACCCTCCCCTTTGCCCGCTTACTTTCTGAAGAACAGATAGTATTTACTTTCAGTACTATTTACTTTCATGATGCCACTGTTTAATTTTCTCTCATTGGCACAGTCTCCTTCCTTGTTCCCCATAAAAGGAAATCACGAATGAGAAAAATCCAAAGGTAATTGGCATCCGACATCTCTCTACCCCACCCAGCCTGTTAATGGCAAGGATGAAGAGAACTGTAATTTAAAACCTGCAAGTCTTCAAGTGACTTGACTAAATGGATCCAGTCTGAGTCAGAAGGAAACATAATTCCCAAACTGTATTAGCAGCAATGTGGATGGGAGCAGTGGGGTGTGAAAGAGACAAGGGTTGTGCAGCCAGCAAGCTTCTCTACAGACTGATACTGGGATATTTGTACACTGTCATGATACACACATATTAAACATACACAAAATGAGTA